TATGGCAGCCAGAAATAAAATGTGAATAAAGAAGATTATGAGCCAGCGAATCCTCAAATATTAAAATGTGTGTGAATTAATAAGAATGACGGAAGATTTTGAGAGAGATGAGATCTGATTTGAGTGAAAGACTGGCCCCAGTGAGCGTGACGATGACACGGAGGTTTGCTATAGTGAATTCTTCCAGTGTCACCATCCTTACTTCTAACCCTGCATGGTCCATGGCCTTGCCCCTGAGTGGCAATTCACTTAGCAGACTGTTGAGCTGCCAATTTGCTTAAAGCATTTCAAGGTGTCTTTTTATATATATATATATATATATATTTTATCTCACATAGCTTTCCTTTCTTTTCCCTAAGACCACTTTGCTTTATTAACATTTCTTAATCCATTAATACAAAAACCTGGTATCCCCTCTATGAAATGCCTTTGAGGCTACTCAGTTTGGGATAATTGCATTCCTCCCAAATAATATCTATCAATCATTGCATTTACCATATGTTATTATAATTTCCTATTTGTATGTTTACCTCCCCCAACTACTCTGTGACTTCTTTGTGTAGAGAAAAATAAATGGTTTTCAAAGCCACGGACTGAAATTGAGTCCCTTTACTGAATAGGACTGGTGTCTGATAAACTAGCAGATGATCACATAACTGATTCATTCTAAATCATCTAAGAAGCCAGGCACAAAAGGCCACATATTGTGTGATTGCATTTATTTGAACTATCCAGAAAAGGCAAATCTGGAGAGACAGAGAACAGGTTAGTGGTTATGAAAGGCTAAGGGAAGAGGGAAATGGGAAATGATTGCTTCATGAATATGGGATTTCCATGTAGGGTGATGAAAAATTCTGTGAGTAGTGTTAAGGGCTGCACAACACTGCAGATATTCTTTTTTATTTATGTTTTAAGTAGGCTCCACACTGGGTGTGGAGCCAACACAGGGCTTGACCCCATGACCCTGAGATGAAGACCTGAACTGAAATCAAGAGTCAGATACTCAACCAACTGAGCCAACCAGCCACCCATATAAATATTCTTAATGCCCCTGAATTGCACTTAAAAATGGTTACACTAATAAATTTTATGTTATGTGTATTTTGCCACAGTAAGAAATAAAATCAAAAAGAAAAATAAACAAAAATACAAACAGCCAAAAAAAGAAAAAGTAGTAAGGCCAGTGCCCATATGTCCCTGTATATTCCTCAAACTTCTGTCTAGAATGTCCTGATTTCCTTTACCTCCCAGATTTTGAATCCTTGACCTTTAAGATGCTGTAAGGTGAATCCATAACCTACAGGGGCTCCACTGTAATTTTCTTCTCTATCAAAGGCCTCATGATGGAGAAAAAAAGAAAGAGGAGTTTCGTACAAGGAAAATGGAATTGAATATTATCAGAACCAGGTAAAATTACTTACCAGGTATGGCCAGGGACTCTTTCTCCCTGCTTTGTATATGTAACTGTTTTAATTTACAAAGTATTAACAGTTATTTGCAAAAGAAAACAAAAAATAGGACAAATGTATAAAATAAAGAAGAAAAATATTTTTGGGGGGATTTTATTTTTACTGTGGTAAAATATGCATAATATAAAATTTACCATCTTAATTATTTTTTTCATCATGATAAGTGTACTCTGTAATCCCCATCACCTATTTTTCCCATGCTCTCACCATCGGTTTGTTCTTTATAGTTAAGAGTCTGTTTCTTGGTTTTTCTCTCTTTTTATTTCCTTTGCTCATTTGTTTTGTTTCTTAAATTCCACATATGAGTGAGATCATATGGAATTTGTCTTTCTCTGACTGACTCATTTCACTTAGCATCGTACTCCCCAGTTCCATCCATGTTATTGCAAATGGCAAGATTTTATTTTTTATGGCTAAGTAATATTCCAACACACACACACACACACACACACACACACACACACACACACACACACACACCACATCTTCTTTATAGCACATTTTCTTTATCCATTCATCTATCAGTGGACACTTTGGCTGCTTCCATAGTTTGGCTCTTATAAATAATGCTGCAATAAACATAGGGGTGCATGTATCCCTTTGAATTAATGTTTTTGTATTTGGGGGTAAATACCCAGTAGTGTGATTACTGAATTGTAGGGTAGTTCTACTTTTAGTTTTTTGAAGAACTGCTATACTGTTTTCCACAGTGGTGAAAAATCATTTTCAAAAAGTCCCCTCTGAGGGAGACAAAGCTATATATAACCAAACTGAGATTTTGTTTTCCTTTTCTGAGCACACAAAATACCTTCCCAGCCTCTCTTGCAATTAGGTGAAGGACTGTATTGTTCTGGCCAATGGGGTGTTAGTGGAAATAATGTAACCAACTCCCAAGGCTGGCTATGAAATCCCTGTGCAGTCATTACACTCTCTTTAATTCCTGCAATAATTTTAGAGGTGATGTGTTTGAGATTAAGTAGAACCACAAGTTAGAAGAAATCTAGATCCTTATGTCACTTGGAAGGTGAGCGGCCAAGGAGAGCCAGGTGACTTGAATGGAAGGAAACCTATAGTGTTATTACATTAACCTTTTGAAATTCAGGGCCTATTTATTATCACAACAGAACATTTCCTGTTCTGATTCATTTACCTCTAAATCTTAATCAATGGAGGTAACTAACTGTATATCTAGTTTTTCAATTAAAGTATAGAGTATCTCCCTGGCATTCTCTGCCCTATTCCTTTAAAGTAGGTCTCAGATGTAGTTTTGGTGACCCACTTACTGCTAGGAAGCCATGTTCTTTCTTAAACCAAGTAAGAGAATCCCATTCTCTTTGCTAGGTAGGCATTTGCTAAGGAATGGTTTTATGATATGATTCTGGCCAAAGGGAAATAAGAGGATGTCTAAACAGAAAATTTCTTGGAAAGACATTTCCATAGGTTGCAAAAAGACAGCTGTCCATCTTTAGTTCCGTGTTGGTATAAAGCAAGGATTGGTGGTACCGTATGTTAGCAAGTGCCGTTATTGTGAGAACAAAGTTTACATGCCAAGCAGAGGAAAAAGATGGTAATAACCATTGTTCTTCATGATATCCCTGAGCCAATAAATTAACCAACACTCAAGATGTCCTTTCATATCTTATGGCACATGAGTTAATAAAACTTTCTTATTTTTCAGCTGCTTTGAAATTTTTACTCTTACTTGGAGCTGAAAACATCTGAAGCATTGATATTTGTTTCCAGTGATTTGGATATTTCAAATAATAGTGCAGCAAATACCTTTGTACACTTATCATTGATTATGTCCACAATTCTTTCTCTAGTTGTATTGCTGGGTCAAAGAGTATAAGCATCTAAATGTTTTATAGGTAATACCATATTTTCCTCCAAAAATATTACTTTGTCTTTGGCTTTTAAGTCTGCTGATCTGGATATTATCGATTTATTTAATTTTGCTAATCTGATAAGCAAAATAATACCTCTGTGCCTTATTTTGTCTTTCTTTTCTTATTAATAGAGTTGAACATGTTTTTATATGCCTAGTGACAATTTGTAGAGTTTTTTGTAAGTTGTCTATTCAAATATTTTGACCATTTTTCCATTGACATTTGTATTCTTAATTAGTAGGAGCTTTTAATAAAAATAAGACTATTAACTCTTGCATTGCAAATATTTTCTTCCAGTCTGTTGTTTATCTTTAACTTTGCTTATTAATCCCTGTTCCTATTCAGGAATTCAACATTTTTATCTCATCACTTTTATTACTCTTAGATTGAATGCCTTCCAATTTTTTCTCTTAAAATCCCAAGTGCTGTTCTTCTCGGTGGTATTTTCAAGGACCAAGATATCTTTAAAGTGTAAATAACCAAAATTTTAAATGATTGACAAGATATTTAGAGGGCTAGGCTATATGAACAAATACCTCTTAAATTATTTTATATAGATAATTGTTTTTCCTATGAGGGTACCTGAAAGAAAGGGAATATATTTTTGTCAAGTGCTTACTTTATGCTGGGCATTATGCTAGGTACTTTACCTGTGATTTTTTTTTTCAATTTCAATCCTCATGACAATTCTCTAAGTTGGTTTTTATTATTACTATTTCAAGAGAAGTAAGATTAGTAGTTTGCTCATGGTCACATAGTCAATAAGGTCTAGATCTGTATTGAGTCCAGGTCTTCTTAGTTCCTTAACATGGATCTTAACCAAGGTGCTCTGTGCTACTGGATAGATATGCAAAACAAATAAAATTCCTATTTCCCCCTTTCACACTTCTATTTGATTCTCTTTCTTTTATCCTGGAACCAGGAATTAAAAAAGCATATCTATGCAATTCAAACATTTTCTTTTCGTTGTACCATGGTGTCTTCTCTTGAGCTGAAGAAAAAAAAAGTAGGACATGTTTTATTTTTTAGGTGTTTTTATCAAGCACTATTTGTGTACAAAATTGAATCAATCACCAACATTATCAGGAAAACATTTCATGATGTTTGTGGACTAGACCTGTATGTTTTTAGAGACATTGATAAATTGGGTGATGGCTTTGTGTCGTTTATCACCAGGGCTTATTTGCTAGGGACTTACCTGGTTGAATCCCTCCCTGTTTGAACAGTCACTTCCTCTTGTCTCAGCTGGCTGTTTTTGACGTCTAGTACTGTCTGGTATTATTTTTAAGATGAGAGTGTGGGAAGAAAAGAGGAAATGTGTCTGCATATTGCACCAACCTCTGATCCAGGAGAACTTTTCTACTTCTGAATTTCGACATATACTCTACCAAGGATTTAAGTTTCTTTGCATGCTAATCCCAGTTTGAGCCCTGTCTAATAGCTTTTTCTTGAATAAACATTCAGAATAGCCAAAATAAAAGAACTTTTAATTCAGAAACTGAAAGCCTTGAAAAAGGGATCTGGAAAAACCCTAACCAAAGATCCTGATCTTGGGAGCCACCAACCTTTTTTTTTTTTAACTTAGTAAAACAGGTGGAGGAATCCGGAGTCTAGATTTCTAATTGTTATTCTGTCACTTACTTACTGAGTGGCATTGAGTAACTCAATGTCCCAGACGGTGTTTTTCTCTACACACAAAGTGGAGGAATTGGAGCAGGGTATCTCCAAGGTCACTTCTGTTGTTCAGTCTCATTCTAGAACACCAGAGCAACCCACACTACATCAGGGAGTTGCCTGATTTGGTCTTAAGTGCTCTTATCTGCCCTTCATGTTCCTTTTCTCCTCTGAGCACTGCACCCAGTAGGTACAGTGTTTTTACCTTGGTCCCTGAAAGTCTCAGAGTCTCTGATCCTGGGTTCCTTTGTTTTAGTTCTCTCAAACATTACTTATTGTTCCAAAACCTTTCATATTTATAGTCTCCTAAGGCCTTTCTCCTTGGTATGAAAATGATCCATTCTAATCAGTTAATGGTTTACTTCTACTTGGTAACTTGCTTGCATTCTAACAAGGACTTTCAATACACAGAATATTATTGACTCTAGAGAAGTGACTCAAAAAGTGGAAATTACAGGCACTTTGGGTTGGGCCAGTGGGAAAGGTTAAGGGTGGAGGTGGGTACAGTGGTCTTCTCAGAAACAAACAGAAAACAGCCACTTGGTCTGCCTTGTTGAACAGAACATAAATGCATTATGTTCCTAATCTCCTTGAAAAGACTAAATGACCTTGATATCCTTTTTCTATTTGTAAGGCCCAATATGATTATTTTTGTAAACAAAGAGTTTATATACCTTGAAGGGGGAAATGAAGACCAAAGCTTCTTATCAATTCGGAGAAGCCTTGAAGCCCAGTCAGATGTCAACTGATTCCAATGGCCCCGTTAAGGAGTAGAAGAGCCTAAGAGACCTGGCAAAATCCCTCTCTTAATTTTAAGACCCTTACACTCTAGTCGTTGCTTATGGAGACTTATTCTTTTCCTGAAGAGAATTTTGAGTTCTCTGTAGTCAGGGCTCAGGCATTTTACTTCTTTTTATGCTCCATGAGGCCTTGCACAGGCTGGAAACATACAATTGCTTAATGAATACTTGCTGACATATCATCCTTCTAGAAGAGAGACCAAAACAGCTATATATTTATTACCTCATTTTTCTGGGATAAAGCAGCTTCTGAAAATATCAATAAAATTAGAATCTTTATTTTGCAGACAGAGGAAAGCAAAGAAGTTAAAATGACTTGTCTTATGTCACACCTAGAAAGTATGACAGAGTTTGGATTGAAATGAAATTTTGACAAGTAGCTGAAGCAGAAAGCACAAGAAGGATCACTCTTCTGTGACTGCTATCTTGGCCCTTGTGTTCTTATGAGCAGGTTTGAGCAAAAGGAGAGAAAAGAGGAATGCCTGAGCATGTGAGCTAGTTTCATAGGAGAGTTGGAACCAGAGAGATTCTAGATTTGCTGGATTCTAGATCTGGATTTGGTGTGGTAGAGGACAAAATGATGGGGTTTTGTGGTGGTACTTGGAGCTGCGATCCGGGGTCTTATCTGCTTGCCTAGAAAGCCCTTTCTGTGGGTCATCATTTCAGATTTTGAATCAGAAGACTCAAAGTCATGCCTCAGAACTTCTACTTAGTAGCTGAGAGCTTTTTGGTGATGTTCACAGTAAAGATTCCAAGGCTTTTCCCACTGCCTACAAGGCCCTACATTGTAGGGCTCCTGGCTACCTCTGCTCCAGCCCCATGCTCAACCTTGCTATTTCCTCACCACACCAGACATGCTCCTGTCTCAGGGCCTTTTCACCTGCTGCTCCCTCTCCTTGCAATGCTCTTCTTTTTTAGAGAGCTTCATGGGTGGTTCCTTACCTCACTTGGGTCTCCGCTCATGCCACCTCATCAGTGGCATTGCACTTTCCTCGTAGGCCAGTCTAAAGGACTGTCTCTATGTTATTATATGTAAAACAAGAAGGATAGCCCTATGACCCTTTTTTCCATTTTCTCTATTAGATACAGAGTATATTAGGAGGGGACTTGGCATACAACCCTTTTTTCCATTTTCTCTATTAGATACTTTCATTAGATTAAGCCGTACTTGATATTACCTTGAAGAGTAATATCTGTGATAAATCTTGGTAAACTTTAAGGTACTATAGTAATAAAGAATTTTAGTTGTCTTTATAACTCTAAGACTTGGAAATGATTTATTAAGGGCTTTAAATTTAAGTATTGATCAAAAAAAATTTTTTTTCCAAATTGGATTGACCTTTTGAAAAACTTTTAATTTTTTTCTTCCCATTTTAGGGATTACTGTCATGATATAAATACGATGACTAATGGTGATGACCCGATTATCTATGTATATACATGGTTCTGTTTTCCACTTTTCTTAGCCTTTAATTGAATCAAATCAAATTTATGACTAGCTATCTTCAAGAACAAAGGAATTTTTCCAGTTTAACAATAGTTGGCAAATTAGAAGGACTCTTTTCAGGTGGAAGATGGTAAGTTTGACTTCAGACATAGCAACTTTGATGTGCAGGTGTAACTTCCACATGAAAAATCCCTAATGGGCCATTGGATGTTATCAACTGGTGGTACAGGAAGAAGTTAGCTAAGTGTTATTTATTGATTTTCATCCAAACAGAGATAGTATGGTTAAATGTGAAAATCGGCCATACCCCAGTACAAGTTCAATATTAAAACAGTAAATTGAATGACACAGTATTGCCAAGTGCTTACTATGTGCTAGACACCATGCTTTGCATTTTTCATGCATTATTTAATTTAATTCTTATAATTACCTTGTGAGTATGTGCTAACATTATCCCCATTTTTATTTGAAATGACCAAAGTTTAATGAAATAAATTAATTTGCAGAAGCTCTCAGAGCTAGTGAGAATAGGAGCTGGCATTCAAAGCCAGGTTTATTTAACTTGAAAGTCAGAGCTTTTAATCACTATATTAGATTGTATAGTGTGTAATTTATGCAACACAAATTAAACATATTCTCAGCAGGAAGGTTGTCCTCTTGAAATGCATTACATAAGAGGCCCACAAAGTTCCTAAAATGACTCCAGTCTTAAGAGTTTCTCGGCTGTCTCAGAGTAGAGCCCAATATGAAACCCAACGGGAGATTTCCTATTTCCTACTTATACATTGGATATTTATAACATGTCCTTTAGGAAACCACTATCCCTCTTTTTTTAAAGTGTCAGTGCAATTGCATGTGACATAGGCTTTTGTGTAGAGTTCATTTTAATTTCTGTAAGTATTGAGATATGTATCATATGAGTTTTTGTATCTCATGGAAATAAATATAATGTGCATATTATAACTAAGCTGATATAGTTCCTGGCATGAAAGCAAAGAATGATGAATGAAATCTAGTGTGATTTGCCTATAATTGTGCTCCTCTGTGTCTGTCTTATGTCCTTTCTTTCATTTCATTCCAAACAGGTCTAACACAGAACAAATAGCCATGCTAAATCATACTGAATAATTCAATGCAGCACTTGCGGACGTTTGCAAGGTGTGTGTATTAAAGATGACGGCGATCTTCCTAGGGAGGAGAAAGACCAGAGAGTTTCCATATATTCAGGAAATGTGTTTAGACATGCATTTATATTCTTTGCTTTGTTTCTTTTAAAGATTTAGTTTCTTTCAAGCTTTTGTGAGTATATTATGGGAGGACTTGTCATACGACCCTTTTTTTCTCTATTAGATACTTAGGGGACAGATACCATACTAAAGAGGTTAGCAGTAGGGCAGGTAGCGTGGGTAGGCAGTGGCATTGGGGGTTTAAAGCAAACACACACCCTCCCCCACATCAGGAAGTATCTAGAGAACAGAGGAATTCACAGACTGATGCTAGAATCCTTAGAGGCCAGCAGCAACAAGCAAGGCAGTCAGCTGGTAGCCATCCTTGCACTTGGGACTATGGTCAAGTCTCCAGTTCCTGGCAGCTAGGACTGCCAAGAATAAAGTAGTTTTGAATCACTGTGTAAATTATCATGATGGAGATGGAGACCCAGAAAGAAGCAGAAAGAAGTACAGTTTTCAAAACCAGGGCAGAAGGGCAGGGCTAGGACCCCTAAATTCCCAGTATTTAGCAAGGCTGGTTTAAGTATCTCCTGTCCTCTGTTAGGCTGAGTGCAGAAGATCAATGAGACCACTTTTGTAGGTGGGCTCAAGTGATCCACGCACAAAGCAGGGTCTTTTACTCTGCAGTTTACACTTTACTGCCCCTCCATTGAACAAACCATACACAATGATAGTGATTTGGATTAGCAACACAATTGATGAATACTGGGCAATGAAGCAATTCCATGTGAGTTGCAGAGTTAATAATATATACAAGTGAATAAATGTCTGTCTTTTTTATTTAAATTCAATTAGCCAACATAGAGTACATCATTAGTTTCGGATGTAGAGTTCAATAATTCATCAGTTTTGTATTACACCCAGTGCTCATCACATCACGTGCCCTCCTTAATGCCCGTCACCCAATTACCCCACCCCCCACCCACCTCCCCTCCAGCAACCCTCAGTTTGTTTCCTATAGTTAAGAGTCTCTCATGGTTTGTCAAATAAATGTTTATCTAACTCATAATTATCTCTATCAATTACGGTCCCAATAGGAGACAGATGGCACATTCAAATGGGGTAATTGAAAAAAGTTTAATAGATTATTGACAAGGGTGTAGGGAGGCAAGAAAGACCACCCACAGGGTGATGAAGGACCCTGTAAGCTACTCACAGTGGGGAGCTGTTGCCATCTCTAGTCCCGAAAGGATGGGAGCTGAGAACAGAAACACCCATGGGGTGTTCTGTCTACACTGACTTTGCTATTTCAGGCAACTCATGCCCAGGAAGATGTTTCAAATAACTTTACTGCTTGTTTTAGGAAATTCCCGGAAGTCCATTCATCTCAACACTATACTGCTTAAGGTATCTTCATTTGAGTAAATATCCCCTACTCAGGATAACAGCTTAACCAAGCTTATCAAGCAATTGTTTATTCTTTAACTCACCTGGAAACCCTCTCTTGCTGTATCCACCAACCCTGAACTATTATATCATGAGCTTTGCGCAGTCCTAAACAAGGACTTTGAAAAATCTACCTTAAACCAGACCTTCAAAACTGCATATATATCC